AGTTGCTACTTAGCAGTTAGGGTTAGCAAATCTATAAAGTCTGCTACTATGGTAGTATATTTCAACAATATCACTATCCTTGATTGAAGTCCTCCTTAAACACTCAAAAGCATTTCAATATTGTTTTATCAACTTCAACCTCTTGATTTCCTGAGAATTGCTCATAAACATAATTTGATAACATTTTTCAAAGGGCAGTGACACAGTATTTGTATTTTTAAGTCTTTTGTTTACATTTCTCACAGCGCTACCCCAGCAAAATCTTAAACAAGTGTAATAATTGGATTAATGTTGCTGGAATATTATTACAGTAAAATTTGCAAAAGACTTGCCTGGAGTTTGATTGAACCCTAACATACAGTTATTCCCTATGTGGGGTAACACATTGCAAAAATAATGAATATAAAATGCTTCCAGTTTGTGGGTAATGGAGATTTTACAACTTTAATACTGAGAAGAAAAATGTGATTGTCATTGTTATTTTGTTATTACAGCAGAGGGGTCTGTGGGAAGGGTAAGGAATCTAGCTGGATAGTGTTTTTATTTTGGGATTGATCCACCTTAACTTACCTATTAGGTTCTTTTCAATACGGCTTAACTTCCATATGACTTGTCTGAGCTAAAGCAGACACATACATGTACCTACACACTGAAGAAGTGTGTTTGAGTGACTGTCTTTCTGACTCTTCCTCCCTCTTAGCCTCCCTCTGCCTCACACAGCACAGGCAGACCTGCAGCCTACCAATGCATTCAGTGAGGGGATTTGGCCGGGCCCTAATCAATCACTGACAGATTACCTCCAAAGCCACTTCCACAGCCATTAAAGCAGGACAAATGCAGAATTGCAACTGAACAAGTTGGAGTTTTTAAGCCAACACCACGACTTCCTGGTTATTTGTCAAAGTCACTCACGCTGAGTCGCATGAGTAGCTGCATGAGTGTGTGGGGCTCAGAGGAAAGCTGGCCATGCATTCTCAGTGTGTGTGTGTCAGGGAGAATGAAGACATGAGAGAGCAAGAGACAGTAACAGAGTGAGCAAGTTATTGTTAGTGTATGTGTGTGTTTTCATGCTTTCAGGTGTGTGTGTCAGCTGCTTTGCTCCCAGCCCAGTGGCGCTTACAGTAAATCACATTCCCTTTATTGCCAAATTTAGCAGCTTATGCTCAATAGGCTCTGCTCAAATCTACACCATGTCCCATCAGGGCGTTCGTCTGGGTTCATAAAAGAGGACTGGCCACACACACTATCCTCTAAGCAAAGACTACTCATCCCCTCTTCTATTTCCAACATTATTTCCCCACATCTTTATCTGAGAAACTAGAAACACTGTCTAATCTCTGCTTCTTGTCCCTCTGGATTTCCTGCTTTGAAATTCCCCAACCATTGTCACACATTCACTGGGGCTTTGTTTATATCAGACTACACTTTATAGAAGGCTTTAACAAATTGGATATCACCATTTTCACAGCCTTTATTACCAAGGGAGTATTTTGAAATGTATTGTACAGTTTATAAAGAATGGCCATTTCTTCCTATAAGCTCTCCTCTTTGCTCAAATTGATTTTGACATTTTACGTCTTCAAAAACATTGCAGGTTAAGTGCTGATAATTATTTGGAAGAGATGAATAAAAATATGAGATGTGTCTAGAAGAGGTGACATCAAAGTAGCAAGATTTGTTGCATGTTTTTCCTCTTATACTGTGAATATGGAGCATTGGCAGTAGAGGTGTGATGAGTTCTTTGATTAGACTCTTATTGTCAAAAACGTCCTTGTTTCCCCCTCCACATATTAAAGAATATGCTTTGTAATTCATTTGTTTTTCAAGTGTGTACTCATGGGGAATATGCAAAAAGTGCAGTGATGAAGCAATGAGGCCTGACACTGAAGTCCGCAGGCACTGGAGTTGAAGTTTAGCTGGTCATGTGACTGCGCCTGCCCCCACCCTCATAACCCCGAAGCAAGAAGGGATGGGAGAAACATCCCATACCAACACAGGAGGCAGGATTGTATGTTAGGTGTGTATTTTTGTGAGGGTTATGTGGTTGCTGTGTGTATGTTCCTCCCCCCTGTGCCCCCCACCCCCCCCCCACCTC